TGACAATACAATTTAAAACCATTTTCAAGCTTCCACAGTCACCATTTCTCTCAATTTCAACAAAATAAAAACTTATATGCAGAAAAAATAAATAGCGAATTTAGTGAGCACTTGAACAAAAAAACAGTTTTTAAAAATTTTCTTTGTTAATTATTTTTAATGAATGAGTTCAATACTTTTGTAATTCTTTTTTTACATAACTCTAACTAAACAAATTTGATACACATAAAATGAAAAATGTTGGGCGCAAGTGGTGATTTGATAATATTATGACAATATGCAGTATAACATTTGATTAAATGCTTTGTTTGTGTGGATGTATTTAAGTGTATGTATTATAATTTAAATATAGTTGGCCATTTTAATGATCAGTGTAGATATATTGCGCTGATATATGATTAATGAAGCCATTAAGTGTTGGTCGATCACCAATCTTTTATCTTATAACATGCATCTAACGTTTTTCGTTTTACATGTATCAAATTTGTTATAAAATCTGTCATCATTATAAGAAGATTATAATCAGACATTCTGACGAGCTCAAATAAAAATTATTTTCTACTTCTTAGTTCACTTGAAAAAACGTTGTTTTTAGAAAAATTCATTTTTTATTGTAGATTATTAAATGTTATTTTTAATTACAACCAGTTGCAAAACTCGAAGTGGATATCAAATTGCTGCATGCACGTATAAATCAAATTGTACCATTGCACATCATATGAGCCATTTTTTTCTCTTTATCAAGTGTTAAAATTGTTGATTCTCAATGATCTGTCTGTCTGTCAAAATTATGGTTTTTGACAGATTAAAAAATTGCACAATTAAACTTTTTTTTTATACTTTTTTATAACTTTTTTATTACTTAATCAAATTGAGAGCAGGTAAGAAGTCAAATGCAGCAGAAAATCAAATTTAATTATTAATCACTTTGCATAAATGTTCATCAATAAATAACACACAATCATAAGGCAAGTTAACCAGTTCAAGCATAAATCAAAGACACTAAAACAATAATAATAATAAAGAGGCCACCAGAAAAAACAAAATCCTACTAAAAAAAACTAAATAATAATAGCAAAAAAAAAAATATTTTACCTGCTGGAAGAATAATAATTGGTTGTGCTTCATTATCTAAATTCAAAATTCAAAAAAAGAAAAACTTTAATAAATAATTTTTTTTTTAAACGCATCTCTAAAATAGATCTCCTTAGATGTAGATATTTTTTTGGAATCCATATAGTTGATAAATAATTTTTTTGGAATCTAAATAGATCTCCTTAGATATAAATATATTTTTGAATTCCAGTCCAAATCAAAAAATAATAATAATAATTTAGGCAATAAGGCATATATATATATATATATATATATATATATATATATATATATATATATATATATATATATATATATATATATATATATAAGTGTAAATATGCAAACATATATATATATATATATATATATATATATATATATATATATATATATATATATATATATATATATATATGTATATATATATATATATAAAATGTATATATATATATATATATATATATATATATATATATATATATATATATATATATATATATATATATATATATATATATATATATATATATATATATATATATATATATATATATATATGTATAAAATATCTTTGCTTTCAACAAGGATGCAAGCAACCACTATTAGAGTTAGAATTTACTGAAAAAATAAGATGTTTATAAAGCAAGATAACAATCAACAGACATAATGAATGTTTTGAGGAAAACTAAACAAATAAGAATTTTTTGAGCACTTGCAAACAGTCACAGTAAACAGAAGAGACTTGATTGAGTGACGAGTAGCACAAGAATAAATTTTACAATTTTATTGAATCTAATAACTTACCTTCTGATCATCAATATGGGTTTCAATCTTCTTGTTTTACTACTGATTTGATAATGGTAGTAACTGATAGATTTTATTATGTATTTAACTTAACTTTTTATTTCAAGGTCAAGGCTCTTGCTCTTAACATTTCTGAAGTCTTTGATAAAGTTCGGCATGCTGGTATTTTCCATAAGCTCTCTTCTTATGGTGTATCAGGTAACATCTTTAGGGTTATTGAGTCTTTCTTAACCAATCATAGTATAAAAGTTGTACTCAATGGACAGCACTCTTTTGTATCCTGCAACTTCAGGGGTTCCTCAAGGTTCTGTTCTTAGCCCTATACTTTTTTTAATTTACATGAACCATCTCCCAGAAATTCTCATGTAAGGTAGCATTGTTTGCTGATAATATATATTATTTAATATGACCATTTATTCTTGTCTTGTTAAAAAACCAATTCTCTTGGATTGCTTAGATAGGGCATTTAAGCTTGAAAAGGATCTTACTCCTGCTACATTTTGGGTCTCTAGGTGGCTGGTGAACTTTAGATTTAAAAAAATTGATTTTTTAGCATATTGATATCACTATTATCTAGATGTTCCTATATTTATGAACCATAGTGTACTCAATGAGTCATTTCTTTTTTGTCTTTTCGCAATAACTCTTTCTACCAACCTTTCTTGGAAACCATTTATCAAATCGATTGCAAAATTAGCATCTGTCAAAGTGTTATATATATATATATATATATATATATATATATATATATATATATATATATATATATATATATATATATATATATATATATATATATATTGTACTTGCCACTTTCTTATTCAGGATTGTATTCTTTATCTTTATTAATCTGATTTGTTAATCTGCACCGCCTACTTGTTTGTCAAAGTTTCTGTTTTGGAGTTATAGAATTAAAAGAGGTTTTTAACCACAATTAAAGTAGCCTCCTCGACTGTAGTGGCTTTCATGCCTTAGATAGTTAACTTAACAGAAAATAAAAAATAATAATAATACTGTTTCCATATCTGGAGCAGATCTTTGAGTGATGTCCTTTCTCCTTTAGACAAAGTGCAAAAATGCATTGTAAGCATAGTTAGACCTTCTCTAGCAGCCAACCTTCAACTATTGTCACATCATTGTAATGTTGCTTCTCTTTCTCTTTTCTATAAATACTATAATGGATGATGTTCTAAAGAGCTAGCGACTCTTGTATCTATCATCTCTTGTTTTCTTCTTCTCATCTCTTGTATAAGAGCTAGTGTTTCTTGTGTCATCTGCTAAAATTCATTTTCATGTTACTCGTCATTCAATTAAGTCTCATTCTTTTTCTGTGACTGTTCCTATGTGTTCCAAAAACTCTTATTCATCTAGTTTTTTTTCTCGAACATCAGTTCTTTGGAATTTGCTTCCTTCATCTTGCTTTCCTTATTCATATAATTTTTAATCTTTAAAGGCGTCTGTCAATTGTTATCTTGCTCTACAAACTTCATCTTTTCTCTTCTAATAACTTCCAACTCTTATAGTGGTTGCCTGCAGCCTTGTTGGAAGCGAAAATAAAAAAATAAAAAAATCAGATCAAACTTAAGGGTAAATGAGGAAAAACTGAGCACATAACTAGGATCAGAAACAAGATTTAAGTCATGTTGAGAAGGTAAATGATTCGGACTGCCTTGAAAACAAGTTGGAAAGTTGACTATTTGTGTTAGTGATTGAGAAAGTTGTAGGCCTTAACACCTGCACAGTCACTGACACTAGAGCCATTCAGTGTGATGAGCACTACTGCCAACAACAACAATAATAGATGAAGTATAAAGAGAAATGGCCAATTTGATCAGAAATAACATCAAAAAGAAGAAAGTCTTGAGAAAAGCAAAAAAAAGCAATATAGAACAAAGAGAAAGGTGATAGAGTGAAATAGTGAAAAGCGAAAGCACATAAAAATTATTCTGTTGATTTAAACTGAGTCTCCAGAAAAATGGATGAATTCTTACAAATGTAAATGCCCAGGCTAAGCATGTGACTTTACAAATTAAAGATACAAATTACAGATAAAGATTAAAAAAATTAAAGATACAATTTACAAATTAAAGGATAACCATAAACTAAAATCACAAGATAAGACAGCTGAACTCTGAAATCTGAAAGCTGAACTGAATTAGTGTTAAAATAAAAATAAAATAAAATTGCTTAACAAGCTGTTTAGTGATTTATGAAAAAAATAAAGTTATAAAGAATTTCTAGATTTCTTAATAAAATTTCTAGATTTCTTATTAAAATATATACATAACTTTGGAATCATTTTGACTTTAATTTTTATATTTTTAATTTGTGTGTGTGTGTTTTTTTATTGTGAGTGCTTCTTTTTTTGTGTGTGTTTTATTGCATCCAAATCAAAATGCTTTAGTTTTTAGTTTTATCTTCTTTGAATCCTTTGAATTTTTGAACTTTTTCTTCTTTTATATTTTTCAATTAGAGATAATGTTTTAGGCATTGTACTTAATAGCAGAATACTTATTTTCAGATTGATATGAAATTTAATTTAAAATACTTAGACTTAATGGTAGAAATTTTTAAAACCTTTAGTCAGACCATTTCAGAAATTGTGACAGATTATTTATCTCTTATTCACAATGGATATCACTCCCAAGAAACGTGCAAGCATTATAGCTCTTAAAGAACATGCTGGTTTGAGCATTAGGCAGATTTCTAAGAAAATGAAGGTGGCTAAGTCAACCGTTGGTGACATCTTGAAAAGAAAAAAAGACACTGGTGAATCTTCAATCTCCGACGAATCGCATTTTGAAGTCCATGGCTACAGGTCAAAGTTTGTGAGACGAAGCAAAAGTGAACCGCTTCAGTCAGGACTTATTCAACAAGCACCCAAACATCCACCTAAGAAGATCTTTTGGGGTAGTTTTAGTGCTAAAGGCCTTGGACGACTCATTAACGTAGAGGGAGTGATGAATAGTGATAAATACAAGGCTATTTTGGAGACTCGTTTGCTTCCTAGTGTGACAAGGGAATTTCCTGATGGAGATGGCATTTTTCAGCAGGATCAGGCACCATGCCATACTTCATGTAAAATGTGCACATTCTTTGAAGAAAGTGGACTGGAGATTTTAGACTGGCCTGGAAATTCTCCAGACATCAGTCCCATTGAAAACTTATGGGCTATAATCAAACAAAGACTCCTGAAAGAAGACTGTTTGAAAATGGCAAGGCTAATTAGTGTTGTAAAAAGGACCTGGTATCATGATGAGCAAGTGACTAAAACGTGTTCAACTTTGGTCGAATCCATGCCAAATCGTGTTCAAATGCTTGTAAAAGCAAAAGAAGGTCATATCTCCTATTAATTATATCATACTTTGTACCATTGGCATGCTTTTTTTTGAATAAAACTTCAATGTGGCAAATAATTGTGTTATTTCAACCACTGCCAGAACTAATTTACACCATACTGTGTGTATATATATATATATATATATATATATATATATATATATATATATATATATATATATATATATATATATATATATATATATATATATATATATATATATATATATATATATAATATACCAGTGTGCTAACCAGGAATAAATTTGATACAGAGTTTTGACAAAATCAGGAATATGTCAAAATAATTCCCAATCATCTGCCCGCTTTTCCTGCAATTTAAATGTGTTCTGGGAATGCGTGGGGTCCTTTTCTTATATTTTTTTTTCTTCTACTCCACTTCAGCGCTGCATATATTGATTAGACAGCAAAATTAAAATAAAATATCGCCTGTAACATTTATTGAAGATGAATATGAAATCAACACAAAATTAAAAGTGGTTTTACAACAACACTGTCAATTAAGATCCGATTTCCAAAGATATATTAGTAAATATATATTTTTATATTATAAAATGATCAGTGTATATTAATTACTATTAGAAATAATACATTTTTTTTATTTGTAATCCGAATATATCGTTGTCGCTTTCATTTTAAGAGTAATCTTTTGAATATATTTATTTTTTACTGGTGGGCATTAAATAGTAATTAAAAGCTCGTAAATTTCATATTTTAATTGCGAGTTCAATTTTATAATTAATATTAATTTTCTCTATACATAAAACGCAGAGTTACAATTAAAAAGTCTGAGTAAAACCAATAACAAATGTCATTTAATTACAAAAGAATATTGACTGCAAGTGATTACATGCTATTGTGGCAACGAA